GGGACGAAACCGGTTGTTAGGGCGGTGATTGTGGAGGGGGTGGAGAGGGGGTCTGGGGGTGCGGAGTTCGAGGATGTAGAGGCTGTGGGAAAATAGGTTTGCGAGAGGAGGGTAGAGATTTGCGGACACTGGATAATACAGCCCGCGCGCCAGATTTGGATGATATTCGGGAAATTTATATTCCATTTGTTTTGGTGGTTGGCTTTGGTGATGATATTCATGCCTTGGATGTGGGAGGCGAGACAGGTGATGTAGACTGCTTGGCGGAGATCTTCTATGATTTTTCGCTTTTCTTCTGCGTCTTTGATGTTGATGCGGCATGGTTTGAAGGAATCGTGGAAGGCTTCGTGTACGTGTTGTCTGTGTCCGCGATAGGCGGACACGATGCGGAGGTAGTGGGCTGTGGAGAGGGTGGGAGCGGGAACGTGGAGTGAGGTTGCTTGTGTGTTGGACCAGATTCCTGTGCCTTCGCTATTGTCGGTGTCTTGTACTACTTTGTCTTTTACATCGGCTAGAACGTGGTTTCCGGATTTATCTTTTTGTTCGCAGATGTCTGCGCCGATTTGGATGAGGAAGGTATTTTTCTGTTGCAGTTAGTATTACTATTCAGCCATTCATTCAATGTCTCTATTCAACAAGACATTAAAGTACTAAGTAAAAACGTACCAATTCTCCCTCAGCAGACCACTTCTCAAATACCTTACCAATCTCATCATATTCCATTCCCAAATGTTTATTCATAAAAGTCCAAGCTTCACTAATGGCGCTCATCATTCCATGCTCAATGCCATTATGAATCATCTTGACATAATGTCCCGCACCACCATCTCCTATCCTCGCTACACATGGTGTTCCATCACTTGCTTTCGCAGCTATTTTTTCTAACAACGGCATGACAATATCCAATGCTTGTTCTTGACCTCCAGGACACATACTAGGTCCTCGTCGTGCAGCTTGATAACCTCCTGATACACCACATCCTATGTAAAATACACCCTGTGCTATCAATTTTCCCTGTCTCCGTTGTGTGTTAAGCCAATTTTCATTCGCGCAATCAATTATTATATCACCTTTGTCGAGATAAGGATGAAGCCCTTCAACAACAGTATCACCTACATTTCCATGCGGCAAGGAAAAGAAGATGACTCTTGGTGAAGAGAGAGAATCGATAAGAGATTTATACTCGGTGTGTTTTGACAAGGTTCTCGAGGTGATATTTTGATCTTTGGCAGATTGAATGAGGGAATCGACTGTGGAGATGGAGGGATCATTGATGGAGACTGAAATTCCATTTTCGGCGAGGAGGAGAGACATTCCTCCTCTCATGGAACTCGGCTCCTATCATTCCTACCTGTGGATTGTTAGAAGAGTTTGGAATTGGAATGAAGGATGATGATCGCTTGCCTGCGTGATTTCATGGCTGCGATGCTTCAATCTGCACTGGGTAGCTACTATGGTTTGATACTGAAAATCTATGAGTGAAATAAGAGGAAATTGGAAGAAATTGATAGAGAGAAAGTAAGAAAAGAGCTCTAACTGATCTTTTAAATATGTTTATTCAAATATAAACGACCTACATTGAACACCTACCCAAATACTATATGCCGGCCTACAAACTGCTGCTATGCATCAACAGGAGCACTTTTCCAAAATACAATAACGTCACTGAATATGACGTAGACTCCTTAAGCAATGAATGCTGATTAGTTGAGCCTTATATCCAATTCTCCAGGTACCAAATGCATATTGAAAATTCGATATCATCTCATAGTTGATGAGGGGTATTTGATTCATTCCTTGAATGGAAGCAATCGAAACTTCGAAAGATGTAGCCTTACTCAAAGAATGCCAAGATCAGAAATATATTCCCAAACAGAGATGATATGAAGGGTGCTTGCTTACATAATACATATTGTAACCCCGAGTTGTACCCCGCTCCAGTAGGTACAGAAAGACATGCAGCTAATATATGCTATAAAGATAAATATATCCTCTCCTTTCCCTTCCCTTCCCTTTCTTCCGTTTCTCCCAAAACCAGAATCTCAAAAACCATGATTACTCAACCCCAAAATCCTGCACCCAACGTGACCCTACAGTAGCTACCCCACCACGCCGCTGAATTCTCCCACTCCACCTCCCTCCATCTGCATGCATCTCCATCTATCCCTCAATACCTCGGCACCGGCCTCGGCACACATCTCTAGACTCGGCTTTGGGAAAAGAGCGGGTACTCTCCTATAGTACTCCGTTAGTACTTGGTATTCAAGTACTAACAGTATGTACTAATAGTATGTAAGACCACTCCGTACCTTACATGATGCATCATCATGATGCACGTAGGGCTTTTGGCTGCTTTGCAATCTTGATTCATATGAGGTAATGGAATTGGATTTATTATATGTTGTGGTTTCTACTGGCCATGAATAGAATGATGAATGATGAATGATGGATGGATGGATCGGATGTTTTGATCTGCTTGGTTAACCGTTAATCTTATTGTTGGATATGTATTATGTATGTATGTGTCATTTATATTTATGTTTATATTTGCAAAGAAATGATCCTTCTAGCCGATGAATGCTCGGAGGAGGGGAGCTAGTTAGCTAGTCGGAAGGGATAGGTAGGTATGGGATGAAGCTTGGTTTTGAGGTAAGTTGTTTGGCATGTGTTAGGATTGTTTTTTCTCTTCTTTATCTCCACACGTATTCCTTCTTTCTTCCTTTCTTTTGCTCGATACAACGAATCCACGACAACAGATTGTCAAGAAGAAATCCCAAGATTACCAATCTACTCACCCGTCTCGAAAGAAGCGATTATCAGTCATCAAACCACAATCCCACTCACCATCCAACCCCACCACCACAAATAACCTCCGAATTTCCCAATCCAGCAACAGACAATCATTCTCCAACAAACCTCCCTCCCAAGACCCAAACCAAACCAAAGCCAACCTCTCCCCATCAAAAAAGAAAACATGGCACCCGTCAAACCCTTCTGGTCCCAACCCTCCCACCCACACATCCAAGAAGTAATCTACGGCGAGGACGAAAACGGATATACCACGAAATCCATTTCTAGAGTTTCTCTACCGCCGTACGCTGTGTTTGCAAAAATGGTATTTTTTACCCTCTGACAAAAATATAAGATTAAAAATACTTTTTTTATATGAGAAAAAAATATGTATATAAAAGGAAGAAATAATAGCTAACCAATTCAGGAATTTCCCCCATGTACGTCTGCCCCTGAGGCTACTTATGCAACAGTCCAGACAGATACCAACACGCATTTAAACCTCAATTCGGATTTATTGTATATAAACCATTCCTGTGAACCCTCTCTCGTACGTCAAAGTATTCCCTAATCCCCCGCCCCCAAAAACCCTCCTCCCTATACCCCAGTAATTCCCCCCCGCCCCACGTCTCTCTCTAACACCTCACCCCACCACAGATCTTCGACGTACAAAACCAGCACATCCTAACCTCTCACACGGGCCTCCAACCCGGCCAAGAACTAACCTTCTTCTACCCCTCCACCGAATGGAAGATGTCTCAATCTTTTTCCTGTAACTGCGGGACTGCTTCTTGCGTGGGAGAGATCAGTGGCGCGGGACAGATGAGCGCGAGTGCGCTGGAGGGAAAATGGTTGAGTGCGCATATTCGGAGGGCGTTGGAGGAGAGGGGCGATGGGAATGTGGTGAAGAATGGGGGGAGGGGGGTTAATGGGGAGAATGTGAATGGGGTTAATGGTGGGAAGTTAAATGGGGGGATTGATGGACAGGGAGAGATCAACGGGCGCAGAGGTGTGACGAGTAGGGAGATGAGCGGGGAGATGGGTGGAGATACTTTGTAGATTTTCGAGGGGATGATTGAGAGGAGGTTTCCTTGTATCTAGTTTTGTGATTTTTGGATTTCTGTGTTTTGTCCTTCAACAGGATACGCGAGTTTGGTATGTTGAGATTTAACATCTCGTAGGTGTCACATTATACATTATATATATATATATATCATTTCTTGAACTGCGTTTCCTGGCAAATCAAATGTTTGAATTCTTTCTGCCTATCTATGTACTGTGATGCAACCCAAGTGGGTTCCCTCTTGGGGATACCAGCTCTAGTTTCACATCATGCCATGCAGTAACTATATAAAGATAAGTGAACCTTTCGAAAATCAAGAACATAACACAAATAGTGTTGAAGTAAACCCTTCCTGTATTTAAGCCTATTCATCATCTTTCGTAAGTGAGTTTGGTCCAATAATAGCCATCGATCATGTCCCAGAGCCATATCCCCTGCATGAATGGTCAAAGAAAGTCTCAAATGACAAACTTCGTATGCCAAAGAAGACCAGATCCTATGCAATCAATCTCCTGTCACATCAGGATTCCATCTATCGTAGTATCCTCCCACGCTTTTACAATTCTTCGGTATATCCTCTTATTTTCCTTCAACCGATTATCCATCTACAGCATGACTCCTATTTCCATCCGAACAAGCAAGATTTGAAATTCAAATTGCCCATTCATCCACACCATTAATCCACAATCTCGTTCCGCCACGCAGTATATAATCGTACAAAGGACCAAAGAAATCCATCAAAAAGCAGAAACAAGTTCGTATATATCATCCCAGGTCATTCATTCATCGTACCGTATCAAAACAATCATTATAATCCCCCAAAAAATATAAGCAAAGTACCACAACACAGTAAAGGCAAGGCTATAATAAGACCATCAGCTCAAAAAATTAGCTCCGGGTAGCACAAATACTACCAATGTTGAGTTGATCAATCTTTCAAGCAAGAGAATTTGCTATACAGCTCGAGAGAAAAAGAAATAAAAGCATAAGAAATTCATAGCGTAAAGGATGAACCAGGTAATAAAAAGACAAGTTCGAATCCAGATAAAACTCGCAAGAAATTATGGGGTATCGCAACAACAACGCGTGGTCTGAATCATGTGAAGGTATAGGAAATCTTGGGTTGGTTGGGCTCTAGAAATGCCTCATGCCGACATCATACATAGTTTCGTCCCATCTGATATCCATTCGTTAGCAAGTAAAAGGTTTATATCTTAAAAAGCGATAAGATCGTCACAGCTCTCAATGCTATGAAAAGATTGGGTTGGAGGCGGTGATGTAACTAACTGTAATTCATCCAGATCCATCATTGAATCGTCCTGATCCATGATGTTTCTAGGTTGAACAGAAGCTCTAACCTCCAAACCCTCAACACCAAGGGCTGGTGATGACTGGCTTGCGGATATTGGTCTGGACGATGGATTGATAAGTGGCAAAGATGCGGAAGCCCTTCTTAACATATTATCTTTCCGAGGGAAACTCCGCTCTGTATCCTCACTCTCCTCGCTGTCTTGACTATCCTCATCTGAAGTGAGCAGTCCTTCTAAGAGCTCCTTATTTTCTTGATCATTATTCTTACGCTTTTCTCGCAAAGCAAAAGTTGCCTTGTGAATGTCATTACTATCTTTGTGCTTGTGGGCACGATAGAGCATAGGCTCTGGCTCAGGGAAATGTGGAAGATTTCTGCTCAATTCTTCTAGTCGTGCCTTACTTGGGGAAGGGTTCTTCTTCCACTTCCGATTGAGAGGGGCAAAACCTGAATCGCTTGTGGATCCGGATAAGGTTTGGACGGCGGCAACAAAGTTGTTAACAGTCTTCTCTCTTAGCATTCCAACCTGCTGTACTAATTTTCGGCGGTGCTCAGGTTGATTTGGGTCTTTGACTTTGACTGGACTATCAGCGAGCATACCTTGATAGACCTCGCTGTTTTCAATTAAAACATTATGATCGAGGACAGATGGAGATCCTGCATCCACCTTCTGCATTCTTCTGGTTCTGTCCGGATCGGTATGATTGCACTCTAGTCGCAGTCTCGGAGTTGATTGAGCCAAAGGACTCGAGGTAAGTAAAGAGTCCAGATCATCGAAGCCCTTGGTATTTCGGTAAGACGAAACCTTCTTGTTTGTACGAGGAGGGCTTGAAAATTCCGGCAAGGATCCAATTCCAAGCATCTGACTATTGAAAATGGAAGGAGGCATCGTTTGATCACTCGAACTTGGCGGCTCTGTAAATGGGTCCGCCAATGCTGACTGCTGGCTGTAGAAGGATCTGCCGTCATTGTTAAGTGGTTTTCTGTGAATTCTAGAATTTCCTCTTAAGTTTTGAAGCTTTGTACTGTCCTTCAGATTTTGCACTATTGGAAAAGTTAGAATCGTCATGCTAATTAGAAGAGAGATTGAAATAGATTCACCTTCATTCAGTCTTAGGTCGATATCACTAACAGATTCCGAGCGTCTAACGACGTGCTCTCGAACCTGTGGCGTGACGACGAAACTGGAGTTATCCAAGGAATCTTCTTGGGTGCTATCGTTCTTTCGACGACGAAAACTCCCTTGCAAAACGCTCTTAACCTTCAAAAAGGCCCCAGCTCTTAAGCGTCGCTTTTTTTCAACTATCAAAGTGTTTGTTGATCCAGGCTTGAGCTCTTCCATTGCCTTTAATGTCTGTGCAACCGAAGCATTTATAGCATTAGGATCTGACGGGCTAACAGCTGGATGGGATTTTTCGTTAGAACCGTTCAATACTCGACTGATTGGTTCCTTGGGAAATCTTCGGGTTTGAGAGTCTTTCGTTGGGCTCCTATGGCGAGCTGTCTTAGCTAATGCTGACTGTCTCTTCGATGACTTTCTCGGAATAGGAGGTGCAGAGTTCTTCCTTGTGTGGGAAGCCTTTCCCTTATGGCAATCAACGTTTGAGTTGTTCGCTCCCGTAGTAGTGCCCTTTCCCGCAATCCACATCTCTTGTTCACTAAAATTGAGACTAGGCAATTGTGGTAGAGTATTCTCAATGGTTGTAGTCGTATTGTGTGGTTGGTGGATGACAGGCTCCTCTGCCAATCCATTTCCCTCCTCACTCGGGACTTCTTCGACGGAATCCTGTTCTTCAATGCCGGATGTTGAGTGAAAAGCTGATAATTGGCGCGTACTCAACTCTATTGATAATCTCAAATTAGCATAATTTCAAAATTGAGCCAAGCCATGATTTACGGGAATACATGAGATGACATTCAGGACATTTGCAGGAAACCCCTTATGGCCCAGTATGGTTAGAGGTGCAGGGCTAAGTGAAGTGACAAAAGTTAAGTGTAGTTGTATGGATTGACCTTTTGGATGGGAGAAAATGATTTTTAAATGGATAAACTAACCTCTCCTGTTGACTCTGTTCTTCTTTGATTTATTGTACTGTGAATTCCTGAGTGAAGCGAACGAACCCATCAGAGTCTTCTTCTTTTTGCCATAAGTCTCCATGATAGAGAATTCGGGACCGTGGTTTATAAGAGAGAAGACGATAGTGTACAAGATATCATGAAGTTAAAGTTCCGGGTTGTATGGGAGGTGGTGATGGCGGCTAGATACTGTAGACAGTGAATAATATTAGCCAAGGTAATGTCGATGACGTGTGAGATGGAAGAATATGAGGAAGGAGTGAATTGGATTAAATGGTAGCGTGTAGATAGGTTATTTCAATTCAGTGAATAGTATGCTAGACATGAATTGATTGTGTAAATATAGCTCAGTAATTCAGTACTCTGAATTGATTTTTGTTCGAATCATGAAAAGAAGAGCAAGATATAGACTGAAGCGGGATCGAACGTTAAGAGGAGTAAACTTCCAAGGACATGGTACATAGCAATTGACTATGAGACCTCAGTAAAAGACTTATGATGCTTTTGATTCAAGAATTGCATGATAGCATCAGGTTTCTTTGAAGTGACAATGGAGAATGAAAGGGAAATGAAATTGGGATACGATCTCACCTCAAAAGCGCAGAGCGGTTGTCTGTATATCAAGCCTTAATAGCAGCACTTTCATCTTATCAAATGGGCAGAGAGCTTGATAAACTAAAGGTTTTGTGCACTTGACAATAGACTTATGGTAGAGAAGTGGAATGGTAGTGGTAGGAGGTAGAAATTGAGAAAGAGAATATTGCGAAGCTTGCAATAAAAAAATGCTGTAATTTGAATCAAGGTACCTCACCAGGTACGTGATGACGGGGAATGTGCAGGAAAGGGCCTAATTTGGGTTTAACAACAGTGAGATCCAAATGAGGAAGTAGTGGACTGCAAAAGGTGACTGACTTGGAAAATTGATATGAGATTTTGCTTGAAAGATAATAAAAAAATGAAATAATATAGGTATAATTAAAATAAAAAACTTCATTTTCTGCCAATGAAGGACTCCCAAAAATCATACGGAAAGTTTCCTCGAACAAAGTTGTCATCTTGCCTGCCTAAGTCGGGCTGTTGGGAACCAAGTCTGACATCACAACTACCTCTCTTGCTGTAAATATGTATTTAAAGCAGTGGCTTCTTTGCTCAAAATTAAAAATACCCTGAAAACTCCAACCTCTTACGAATTCAAGAAACACAAGATAGATTCCGGATCGATTAAGCAACCATTAATATCTTCAATGCCTCTCTACAGAAGCTCCGGAGGGTCTGGGCAGCTCTCTGAGCGGCAACAGTAGCCTTACTACCAAATTAAATGAGCTGCAGCGTTTAATAGACTTCCCAGCACATTCCCACAAAGTTCAAGGAAAGCCAGATAGCCGCTTCTAATTGTAAAAGCTCCAGCAAGTTCTACAATTTTCAGTACCTTACAGCCAAGCCCTGAAAGGACCGAAAAGCTTCCTGTCTTTCATAGAGCTGGGACTCTTCGACGAAAACATACTTCTTGAGCCATTGGCACACAGCAACTACCAACTTTTGAGGTTGTTGTGTGCCACTTTATCAACACCTATTTGAACATGAACCTACCCAAGTATCATGCCGAAAGGTGAAGCACAACAAGCGCAGATGCATGTCCGTTATATTGCAGCAACAAGAGCAACATTATGCCTAGGGATGCAGACGCAAAAGCAACGTACCAGCAGCCACATGCATAGAGTATCATTCGACATCAAGATCATCAGAAGCAATTTAATTGGCATGTCTTTACATTGAACCCTTCGACCCACTTCCAACCCAGCATCATGATCTTGGACACTCGTTAATCGGATTATGTGGATATTACAAACCGGAATAACCACGAACCCTTCGTCCGTTATTAAACATTAATGATTTGCCTGTAAGGCCATCATGCAACATTGAGAGGTCAAACGTGTAGGCAGTTCACATTGAGAACCCATGATACTCCACTTTGGCTACCCTTTAGCATTAACAAGAAGCTAACAGTTCCTCAACTAGGATTCATATTCGAGCTTACAATAGACCAATGTTACCTGGCGCTTTCCAACCTTCAAACACCAACCCGCCATTGTTTTCCACCACACATACAGACAAATGAATCTTTACACTGCACGGCGTATAATCTGGAGAAGGCCTTCATAGCTAACAATTGCTATTCATGCTTTGCTAGTAGGGATGTCAAACAATTATCAGCACCATACACTTGAGCATAACCTCACACTAATTTTAGAAGCTCTGACTTGTATCAAACAACGATACCAATATGAAGAGTGAACATCACCTACTCTTCCAAAATTCTTCGCTAGGTCTTAGAATTGGCGCATGAGATATCTCTATTGGTGTTGCTCAAAATGGCTTCCATATTCCTGGGCACAGCAGGAAATTATAGACTCAACTGAACATCCAAGCCGATTCACCATATTTTACCATGAAGATATACCTCTGTCTTCCAGCGTACAAAGTTTTTACACCGGTAGTCATCTTTAAAAATTTATTGACTATTTTCGATAAGTCAATGATCAGAATATTTACACCATGATACTAAGCACAAAAAGGAAACAAAAAACTCAACAGCTTTATCTTTCGGGAAAACTTTCAAAAAGGGAGGACCAGACATCATATTTGTGAGTGTCGTTTATTCAACCGTTGACTACTGTTTTCTATAAATCCAATCTTATACAGGAACATACACCATTCAGTCCTCGACCATTGTCCTGCTAGCACATCCATCACTCAAAAACATACCAACAATATACCTATTAATAGTACCCAGAGATTCGGATCATGTTGACAAGTAGAGCATCATAACGAGGACCTTTCTCTTATGGCCAAAAGGATTTCATTGTTTATCTTAACCACATCAGACCTGCGGCTTTGTCATCCAACCCCTGATTACCCGATTTCTTAAGCTTTACTCTTCAGTTCAGCTGAATACCTAGGTGCCTGGACCAAGATCTTCAACACTTTATTTCAGCTAGCCTCGCGATTCACATAGCAGCTGATTTTGCATTTTCTTAACCAGAAAAAGGGTATGCAATCATTTACTGAATGATGCATGAACAGACTTGTGCAATATATCTGTTTTATTATACTAGCAGAACATTGGCTGGGTACTAAGCTATCACTTTTTCGTTTCAACTCCCGACTAGTTTCTATGCCTGCTTTAAGCTCGGCCAGACAATCAACAATGAAAGCTCTGTGTTTGTTTAATACATAATCGAGTGGTCAACAATAAATGGTGAAGGTAACACAATGGCAAGTGGATGACATACGCCTTAGTATCTGAGACAGAATTTCTGAAATAATCCACATTGTACCTAGGAAGTCTATTCATTCATTCAAAATCTCGAATGAAGCAAGCGCTAGCAACTCATACTTAGGGCGTTTACACTATAAACGTCTTTAGCGACACTTTTCTAATAACTGTTTGAATATGTTTTCCAAAACACACAATTATATATATCCAAGCTAGGATTTTATTGAGAGTATGCTATCTTTATATGGGGAGCACGCTAGTGCTGTCTTCATCCGCTATTAAATACATTCATCAATATCATTATTTGACTTCTTGTATCATTTTGTTCATACTCAAAACTACTTTCAAGACCAGGAACTAAGCCACATCGCAGAAATGACAGAAATATAGAAGAAACAAAAAATAATTTCAAGACCATAATGTCGTTCGCTACCCTCCCAATGCTGCCATCCAACCCATGCTCCAAATACTGTTCCCGTTCCCGTGAGTGGGGAGTGCTTACTCCGCCAATCCTGCCCCGGCTGATGCTACTCCGGGAACGATTTTCCCAATGTAGGAACAGAAGCACATTTTAAAGTCCTGAATACGCACAAGCCCCTTCTTGTGCGGCATATATTTGAATTGTATTGGTTTGGAGGTGTTCGCGGTTGGTGGGTTGTCACTGGGCTGAGATATAAAAGATTCGAAGGATGGGACCCGACACTACTCATTCCTGAATCATGGAAGGGCTCGCTTTTTATATCGATCACGATCGACATGGCTTAGGAAAGCATACATGCAGACTGGCAGAACCGGAAAGCGGAAAGCGGAAGGCGGAATATGGCTATTTGTGGATTTGAGGTTGCTGGATTTGAGTTCGGCCCTTCGTTCGGATTGTTTTCACAGATGTGGTAATTCTATTGTCATCATTACGGTGAACTACAGGTCAAACTACTCTCAAGATCTTTAGATTTCCTAAACTTATTATTTTATATACACACATTTATCATGTTAGACAACGAATCTTTACTCCTTTGTAGGCATCTCTCTGTGAATTTCATATGACAGTAAGAAAGGAATTACGAACCTTCTTCTTTCTCTTTGACAAACAAAATCGGCGGTCAGCCTTTGAATGAGGTTGTTCGAAAATCTTTCTAAGTTTGGAACAACAGGAAAAATCTACTTGGCCAACGTACTCATTATAGTAGAACCCCATTGTACCGGCCCCAAAAATTCGATCACATCAATTCCGGCTTACGGTTAATGGGCTTTCCGGTAGGTTGAAGTTAGGCAACAAGGCATCAATAAAATTTGTGTGATCAAGATTTTATTCCTGAGATTTTATGAATTGGTTATCTGATAGGCGTATGAGGAGGATATACAAGCCTTTTCTTTACAATTTTTATCCCGGAATTGTACAATTTTGATCGGAATTTCTTAATTTACCGGAATTCCGATACATATATATATAAAAAATAAAGTTTTTATATGGAAATAATTAATGTAAACGGGATTCCGGTATACTGTATCAGCTGAAGCAACTTATCGGTTATTGGATGATGGCTGACGTTAGAACACAATGAGACATTCGAAACACGGAGAAAGCGCATTAGGAATCTGTGCAACTTGAAAATTATTTGCATCTTTATAAGATCGCAACAAACTTCCTCTCTCTGTCAATTGTTCTCATAACCCATTTTTCGCACTTTGTCATTGATAAAAGTTTTATCCAATAAGAGCTACCGGATTCATAACCCACAGACACACACGATTTAACCCGACTCCATAATTTTCTGAACTTCCGCCTCGTTTCTACGCCACCTTTATAATACAGTTTATATCATCCTTCGATCGACACTTTTAACATTTTTCAATTCTTAATACTTCCATTCTTTCCGATCAGAACCTTCACTACATATCCAACATGTCTTTCTCTAGTCTCGTACAAGATTTATCATTTAGAGATGCTGCTAGTGAGCGACGACCACCAATTCGAGGTGCGGCATCGGTTTCGACTTATGATGATCGTGCATCTTACGTTTCTAGAGCCGACTCGCACATTTCCAGAGCCAGGTCATACGCAAGCACGACGGCGACGAGCGTGAGCATATCTGGAGATATTGCTAGTCAATTGCACGGTGGTTACTGTCATCCTTTGGCAAGAACATGGCAGGCTGAGAGACAATTGACAAAGGTAAGATTCACATCGCTATGTAAACTATTTTTCAGCTTCTGACAGCCCTCACAGTCAATGCTTATTTACCCCCTGTTTATCTCCGACATTGATGACGAAGAAACCCTTATCCCCTCCCTTCCCGATCAACACCGTCGAGGAATCAACAAGGTTGTGCCATTCCTGGAACCTCTTGTCCGCAAGGGTTTGAGATCAGTCATATTATTCGGTGTACCGGTTGCGCCTAATGCCAAAGACGCTCTCGGAACAAGCGCAGATGATCCACAGGGTCCAGTCATTGCTACAATTCGACTCCTCCGTCAGCGATTTCCACAACTCTTCATCGTGGCAGATGTCTGCCTTTGCGAATACACCTCCCACGGACATTGCGGTATTTTGAGGGATGATGGTAGTCTTAACAACCAGTTGTCTGTCGACCGTGTCTCAGATGTTGCGATCGCATATGCTCAAGCTGGTGCGCATTGCGTTGCTCCTTCAGATATGAATGACGGTCGCATTCGTGCTATCAAGCTCAAGTTGATCGAGGAGGGCATTGCACACAAAGTCGTATTGATGTCATACGCTGCTAAGTTCTCTGGCTGCTTATACGGACCATTCCGTGACGCAGCAGGCTCTGTTCCTTCATTTGGCGACCGAAAATGCTATCAATTACCACCAGGAGCTCGTGGTCTTGCTCGTAGAGCCGTTGAAAGAGATATCGGTGAAGGCGCAGACATTATCATGGTCAAGCCAGCTAGCCAATATCTCGATATTATTAGTGATGCAAAGGACATCGGAAAAAATATGCCTATCGCAGCATATCAAGTTAGTGGGGAATTTGCGATGATTCATGCTGGCGCAAAGGCTGGTGTTTTTGACTTGAAGGAAATGGCTCTTGAGTCTACTGAAGGTATTCTGAGAGCTGGTGCGACCATCATTGTCAGCTATTTCACACCACAATTACTCGATTGGTTAGAGTCATAGATATGATCTATTATGGAGTCTGGGATCATTAAAGTTTTTGTTAAGGCTTATCAACGGCGTTCTGGGGACGACACTAATGAACGGACTGGGAAATGGAGTTGGACAAAATTACTGTCAGACTATCATGAATTTTATGCTACTACTAAGAACTCTGCTTTATTACTACTCGTTTGCATCCATATTCTGATCAGTCCAGACAAATCTACTTACTTTGTATTCATGTCGTGGCAATGTTTATCTCTATATACCATGAACCAGTCTTATCCATGCCAATCACTATCAAGTTCGCGGGGTTTCACCATTTCCCGGCCGACTGCGGGGGGCTGCTTATTAGTCGGCTAATTTGCCCCGGAGGGATGGCCTGCGTAGCTTTGTGCCGAATACAGCCTCGTGGAAGCGTCATTAATCCTCAAAGCTATGAATCAATCAATCAATCATTTAAACCCTCCTCTTCATTTCATATAAGATCTTCCGCGTCCCAACTTTATCATCAATCCACTCGTTGCGTGAAAAATCTAAAAATTCAATCATGAAGTGCTTTGCGCCTAGGCGCATCTCAATTCGTCCGGTTTCCTTCCTCGAAGATTGCGCATTGAATGCGAATAGGACGGTTTATCCAGGTACGACATATCGACTGCGGGTTTCGAGGGAGAGGAGAGAGAGAAGATATGCTTCGTCTAGTAAATCTTCGAGGCCGAAAACTGCGCTGTTTTTTCCGGGTATGATTGCTTGATTAACTTGCTTGCTTGCATGTTTACTACTTACTGTTTGTGTTACTTTGTTTGTATTCTACTAATTATTAATAGGTCAGGGAGTTCAGAGGGTTGGCATGTTAACACCGTGGCTGGAAGCTTTTCCGTCTACTGCTGGTCCTATAGTTGAGGAGATTGACGATCTGCTAGGCTATAAACTCTCGTCGATTATTGCAAATGGACCAAATAGTACGCTTACAGCTACCGGGAACGCGCAACCTGCTATTATGGCCTCTTCGATTTTGATTTTACGAGTATTAGAACGCGAGTTCGGTTTCAAGACGCATGAACGAGTCGATTTTACACTAGGTCATTCATTAGGAGAATTCGCTTCTTTGGTTGTTGGGGGATATGTAGAATTTGAAGATAGTTTATACCTGGTGCGCAAACGAGCGGAGGTCATGGCTGAATGTTCACGGCGAGCGAGCGAAGAACATGGAGGTGAATATGGAATGGTGGCTTTAGTCACCGAACCCAATCATCTGTCTCCTCTCATCGAAGCTATATACGGATTTCTCGGACACTCCGCGGGCTCGAAATCTGAAAGCGCGGAAGTTCCTCCTATACAACAGGTCTTGATTGCGAATATTAATAGTAAGAATCAGATTGTTTTGAGTGGGAACATTGGGAGGATAAAAGAATTGTTGACGCATTTGAGACAATTTGGTGGTCATGATCCAAGGGCTGTGAGGTTAAAGAGTGATAGTCCCTTTCATAGTCCGTTGATGAAACCGGCGGCGAAGATTATGTCGAAGCTGTTGGAGGGAAAGAGCAGGGTGAAGGGAAAGGAAGATAGGGATCTGTTAATATTTCCCGGGACGATGGAATGCATAAGTAACGTTAGTGCGAGACCATTTCGAAGTAAAGATGAATTAAAGGACCTTTGGGCGAGAAGTTGTGTGGAGACAGTCAGATGGTGGGATTCGATAAAGTACCTAGATCAGGAAAAGAAAGTGAGGAGGTGGATTGGTATTGGACCTGGGAAGGTTGGAAGGAATTTGGTTGGAAAAGAAGTCGGGATGAGGGGAATGGATACTTTAAAGGGAGGTGGAGTTTGGGGTATTAGTGATCCAATGGAAATAGAAGAGGCCTTGAAAGCTTTGGATGAGACGGAATCTCTTGGCGTAGAGGATGAAACTGCTTAGGTTTTCGCAGACTATGTCATTCCTCTGTGGAGGAGGCAGAGGGGAGCCGAGGAAAATTACCTGAATGACATCTAGGTTATGAAAAAGCTGGGTTGGAAGAGTTTCTGGTTTCAATGAGCGCTTTTGCATGTATTCCAGGTGGGGTGGCCGTGAACGGGGCGAGGCTACGAGGCTGGACTGATTATACAATACCCAATATGCAATGTGTTGAATATCTGTACTCTATTTAAATTCCCATAAACCTGCTCTTGTGAATGCAAAACCCCAATATAATATATCCCACATCTTGACTGTCAAAATCTGGTGAGGTTTCTAAATGTAAATATTTCCTATTTCGTGGTTGCGCTGATCGCAGCCTTGCGAGTTCTCGGCAACTATCAATGCTTCAGTCGCAGCGCATCGCATCGCATCACAACCTCACTCTATAGAACCTACCAGACCATCCACAAGCTTAGTGCAATTGGAAAGGAAATCGCAAATCACATAATCTTAATCATGACAACCATTCCTTCAATAGCCTGTCTAGGCGTAATAGGCAAAAATGTAGGTTCCTTAATTCCTCTCCCATCTTCATCCTCATCCACCTGCCCATCCATTCCCATCTCAAACCCCATCACCCAACCCATCTACAACCATCAAACCAACAACTAACCCCTACCCAGAACAACCCCCTCCACATCTCCATCTTCCCACCCCACTCCCCGCCATACCCAACATCCTCGATCAGCGCCTCCAAACCCACAGCCCCCGTCCACGAAACCCTGCGCACCCCCCTCCAATACTCCCTCCTCCTCAGCTCGACCCTCGACATCTTTGACGCGCGAAATCGTACGTCCGCTGGAAATCAAAATCTCACGGGCGATTTGGGTCTTTTGTATGCGGTGGATGAGAGGTTGGCGGCTTATGGGTTCGAGACGAATACTGGGGTGAGATTTGTGGTTTTTGTGGATGCGAGGGGGAGGGTGGTTAAAGGTGGTGGGGGTACTGGGGCAGCGGGTGGTGGAGGAGCTGGGGGGGAAGGTGGTGTTGCGGGGGGTGGGGTGAGGGAGGCGGATGTTAGGAGTGTGAGTTTCTTTTGGCTTCTTTGGTTTTTTGGTTTGGTCTGTGTTTGGGAGGAGGACGCGGGGAAAGAGAAGGAAGGGAAAACAAAGTTAACAGTACAAATAGATATTCAAAGCCATGCAAGCAGCCTACATCCGTCTCCTGCAAAATCCCTTCTACGACCCAGATGAACACTGTCCTGTAAATGGCAAGGGCGGGAAGAAAATCAACAGTAGGAAATTTGTCGAGGATATGAGGAGGATTGGGGAGGCTTGGGTACCGGGAAATATCTGATAGGTTGATTGGAGCTTTGGAGGAGGGTTTACCGGTGTAGGGAGGTGCTGAGGATAATTCGATTCGATTCGATTCGAGGGTTGAATTCTCTGGTTTCTGATCTTCTAGGGATGATGGAGATTTTTTGGTACGTAGAGACGTATGTGTATAGAGAAAGCCGGCCAGGGGAACGCAAAGATGATTAATATGTGAAAAGAAATGGGAGTTGGGAGTTTATACCTTGAGATGATTTGCTTGCATGCTTGCATGCATTGATGGAGTTTTTAAGGTCATTATGAGCATTACTAATTACTAGATGGGTTGATATAGATATCTATTTATTAAAACCAGATCTTTCCTTATTATTGGATTCATGAGCATGCATCCTGTTTGTTTATAAGAATATCTACTCCCCCTTTTTCAGTTTGTAGAGGAATGAAGGGTCGGTTCAATTATATATATATCATAATCTTAACACGGTGTAGTTATATTGCTTACGGCGTGCTGTTTATGAGGAAGGAGATGGTAGGGCTGTGGGTGGACTCGTCTATTGTGTGGTGTGAGTGAGGGATTTTGTTTACAGATGTGAGGTTTGTAGAGGTGCGTGGATTTGAGAGGTTGGGGTGAGGTGGGAGGTTGTGGAGGTAGCTGGATGGAATGATGTGTCCCCGTTACTTTGGGTTCATATACACGATAAGGGGGGAACACTTGCATATTAGATGTATTGGCGTAATGGCAGAATGGCGTAAAGGAACCACTCAACTCAAACTTGATATGGTAGCAGTCATCATTTGATTTGAATTGTAAACATTGTAGTGTATTGCACCCCTAAATTTAAGTCCGAACCATGAGCCATAGCTCATAACAGCAACCATCATCGCCAACACACCAAACGCCTTCGTAGACTCAAAGCAAAGAAATGGTCATTTAATGAGCTTTCAACCATGCCAAGATTTGGTCATATGCCTCAGCTTGTGCCTGCTTGATGTTTAATTGCTCGTAATCACCTACTATCGCAAATCCGTGAGGTACGCCAGAGTACGTCTTGAATTCATGTTCGATGTTGTTCTCATTCAAGTATGTCTTGCCGGCCTCTTGAACTTCACGAGAGAACAGCTGGTCGTCATCAACACAAACAAATGATAATGGAACTTTAGTTCCCTCCCAATCTTCCTTTCCAACTAACGTTGCGTGAGCGATTGCACCAACTTTGATGTATGGACCTTTCTTTTCAACGGCCGCTTCCTCGTCCTTTGCATGATGTTGGCCCCAATGAACACCATCTGATTTTTCGCCTGCTAGTAATAGAGTCATTTTTCCACCTAAACAGTAACCAACGGAATATATTCCTCCCCCATTAGCTACAGCATCTGCGAATTCGTCCTTTGCAGCCTCTATAACTTTATGGATAATCGGTAGGATTTTTTCCGGTGTCTGTCTTGCGAGCCACATATCTGCTAGAAAACTTTTTGCTGCCTCTGCGGCATGGAGCTTCAATTTTTCAATCAAAGAAGGATCCTTTTCTTCTACATACGTCACGGATCCAGGTAATGGGTCGTTGTGGAACATATCGGGCATGATAACAAGGAAGCCTTCGCCAGCGAATTTATCGGCCTGAATTTGATTATTTACTGAATGCATGCCTGTCGCACCAGTGAGGAGTAGTAAGAGTTTCGATGGCGCATGAGGATATTCGCTTGGCTTTGAAATATAAACATCGATTCCTCCAAGTTGTGTAATTTCTCCAGATGAACCATGACCGGAAGCTATTTCCGTCAGCAATTGATTCCTTCATTGTCGAGATTGCAGGCACTTTGCGCAAGAGTACTAACGTGTTGGTCTATCCTTCACACAATGCTCCTTTTAAAAGTTAGTAATGCTCTTCCCATTCATGTCTCAAAGACGTACACCCAAACTTGCACCGCTTTGCGCTGGAGTATCTCCTGGAAATGGGCTTGGTTCGACTTGAGGAACCTCTTTTGATTCCTCCATAGCATCACTTTCTGGGGCTCTGGTGGCAGTTTCGTCGGTCATTGTGTATAATTTTGAGGTGTTCGTATGTCAGTGTTGTTTTGTTAACAAGGAGGTGCATTGATAGGCATTGGACTATTAACCTGGACTTGCGCTTGGCGGCGGGAGGCCACGTGAAGAGGGGTGATGGTGCAAGGGGCGGGGAACTTCGTGTTAGCGTGACATAATCAGGCTGCTAGCGCGGGCACTGCACGTTCCAAGACGCGTAAAATAAATCAATTTACACGAACCGCGACTAATCCCCATTTACGAATGTTGACCAGTCAATAATACATCAACCATATTCATTTTCACTATTTTACTACAAGAGTGCATATAGTTGTCGATAATCATGGAGGTTGCAAAAGCTCAAATTACTCAAGGTGCCTTGAAGTAAGTACATTTAACCCTTTAATCATTTTTCTATGCTAACTGTGCATAGTGCAATCTTCAATGACACTGATCGTGTAGTAAAGGACTTTCCGGTACCAGTATGTCAAGTGGTACAAGTCAAACCAATGGGTGCGGGAGTAGATGGACAGGCCGAAAGATTCAGACTGGTTGTGAGCGACGTTCAGAACTTTGTACAGTGCATGCTTGCCACTCGTAAGTAGAATCTATGTTGTAACTATTTAGACTTTTGCCAGAACGATTTGACTGATGCCATTTTAGAGGCAAATCATGTAATACACGATGGAAAATTGACAAAGGGTTGCTTCATTCGTCTGAAGAACTATCAGGCAAATGAAGTTAAAGGCAAAAGGTCAGTTAGTATCTGCAGATGTCTACCGATGGGATGTTGTTGCCTAACTTTTTTTTTCTTTTAAGAATTTTAATTATTCTCGATATCGATGTCATCGAGAGTTTGGGAACGATGGAAAAGATCGGAGAACCAACTGCGGTCAAGGTCGAAGTAGATGTCAAACCACACAATACTACAATTGGCGGAGGTGGCTTTTACGGAAATAAACCTCAACCCCAACAACCTGCCGCCCAAGATCGTGCGCTCCCATCCCGCAGTGGTCCTTCCAACTCCTCATCTCACGCCACCATATATCCTATTGAGTCACTCTCACCGTACGCTCATAAATGGACAATCAAAGCAAGAGTTACAAGCAAGTCGGATATCAGAACATGGCACAAACAGAACAGTGAAGGCAAGCTCTTTAGCGTCAATCTTTTGGATGAAAGTGGCGAGATTAAGGCAACGGGCTTTAATGAGCAGTGCGATGCTTTATATGAGCTTTTCCAGGAAGGCAACGTCTATTATATTACGAGTCCCTGTCGAGTTCAAATCGCAAAGAAGCAATTTTCCAACATTAATAATGACTACGAGCTTATGTTCGAACGAGATACCCTGGTGGAGAAAGCCGAAGACCAAGATAATGTCCCTCAAGTACGATACAACTTTTCTAACATTGGAGATTTACAAACAATCGAAAAAGACAGCACAGTTGATCTCATCGCTGTGCTCAAGGAAGTTGGAGAAACCTCAGAAATTATGTCAAAGACGACTAATAAACCATACAGCAAGAGGGAGTTGACATTAGTTGATGATACTGGATACTCTGTCCGATTAACTGTATGGGGCAAGACTGCAACCTCTTTTGATGCTAGCCCAGAGTCGATCGTAGCTTTTAAGGGCGTCAAAGTTTCAGATTTTGGGGGTAGAAGTCTAAGTTTGCTGTCTTCTGGCTCAATGTCCTTCGACCCAGATATTCAAGAGGCACACAGGCTTAAGGGATGGTACGATTCCCAAGGTCGCACAGAAAACTTTGCCTCACATAGCAACATGGCCAGTGCCGGAGCAGCAGGCGGCCGCCAAGACCCCCTCAAGACCGTTGCCCAAATCAAAGACGAAGGTCTTGGAATGTCCGAAGAGAACACAGATTATTTCTCAACCAGAGCCACCATCGTCTACATCAAACAAGAAACTTTCTGCTACCCCTCCTGTATCAACGAAAATTGCAGTAAGAAAGTCGTCGAAGAAAATGATGGCACATGGCGCTGCGAAAAATGTAATCAAACCCACCCTAAACCCGAATATCGCTACATCCTCTCCCTAAACGTCAATGATCACACCGGCCAATTATGGTTAACGGCATTCGATGAAGTAGGAAGGCTCATAATGGGAATGAGTGCAGATGAGATGATGGAGTTGAAGGAAAATGATCAATCGGCCTTGGAAAAGGCATTCGATGATGCAAATTGCAAGATGATGACATTCAAATGCAGAGCCAAAACCGATAACTTCAAAGAGCAAGCGAGGTATGTGAATTTCCACTTTATATTCTTAGGAGTTCATTTTGCGAGGGTGTGACTAACCATTAATTGCAGGGTCCGTTACCAAGTCAATTCTGCTTCGGCTGTGAACTATGGTGCTGACGCCCTGAAGTTGGCCGAGTTGATCAAGGCGTATAATATTGACTAGATGTATAAGTATATGGCTAGCATGCTGCGATTATAACCTAAGAATGGGATAATGAGGTCAGGCAGCTGCTGAGGCTGGAGAGTTTTATCAATAGGCATGATGCGTTTGATGAATTGGTGAATGTATTTCATACCATTTGGCGTTGGATGGTTACTCTCATGTCATGTCCAATAAGACGATAAAGTTTTGCACGAAAAATGATGAAAAACATTGCCACAATAGTGCACGCCCATTTGCTTGCTGGCTTGTCCATTCGTATCTTTGTTTTCTCTAGTTCATAGAATCATTCCTATCATATCTTCATAAGACGCCCCACCCCATACGCCACTGCTTTCGATTTCTTCGAAAAGCTTAATCGTGTATCACCCCATGCACCAGATATCGCTTTTCACGACTTATTATCCATGTCGTGTCTTCCCGAAAAAGCAAAACCCTTTCCGTCTTTGACGGCTAACTTGATCCTCTTCCACCGTAACTAAGATCAATACATCTCCGTCATTATATCCTCATCCTCGATTACGGTGTTCCAATCCATGGGATCCATAGTTACACCACCAACCTTCTTCGCTTTGCTCTTAGCTCTCTGAGCACTGTCGAGATATCGCTTATCATGTGTCAATACTCTGTCTGTGACTTTGATTTGTTTGGCTAGAGATTGGATACGTCGAGTCGATGCCACTAAATCAATTTGAACCTGGGTTTCTGAAAGGACAGGTCCAGTTGGGGAGAACGCGAGGACAGCATGTCCAGATTGATCTCGAATCATAGTTGCAGGTAAGGTGCCGTCAGCAATCATGCTTTGAATAAGATCTTCAATTTGTTTAATTGAAGTCAACTTTACACCAGTTTCTGCACTCGTCGTGAGGCTCATAATGTCCGCAGCTCCAATTTTCGAATAAACATTAGTGAGGTTACGGATTTGAAATTTTTGATAGGCGCACAGAACACAGTACATTAGACCAAAATTACCATCGTCAGTCCATAATTGTCGACCGAACTCAGCTTCGCTCTTTAGTCGCGCAGCTGATCCAGTTTCAAAAATGCTGGCGACAGCTTCATATGGTTTTGCAATAATATGGTATGCTTTGGCGGCAGGAGCAGAAGTGGTTTTTGGAAGCTGGAGGACCCTTCCATATTGGAGAATTCCAACGAGTAACCATTTTTTATATGCTTCAACCATAACGAGACTCACACCACCTTCATTTACCGGGTATGTTATAGCATTCTCCAACATCTCTAATGCAGCATCCCATTTATGTAAACCAATGTAGATTGATCCGCTGTAATAGAAATACTCTAGAACATCAAGAGGTTTTAGTTTGGTGGTGAGGCTCGATTTGATCGTGACATAGGACTGTGCTGGTAAGTCGACCTCGCAAAGAAATTTTGTGTATGATACTGGCTCTTTGGCAGGTATGTAAAGGACAGGTTTGTCAATAAGTTCTGTGATTGCAGTGAAAAATCGTGTTTGGAGAGCCAATCGAACAAGAAATAAATGATTCGAGGTCAGGACTGATCCCGAGGGGTCGATTCGAAGTAGAGCCTCTCGAATTGGTGGGATGGCAGCGCCTGGCTTCATGAGTTTTAGTATTTCTTTATGTAACACCAAAAGTATTACTTTTACGTACCTGATGTTGCTGCGAGGCAACTTCCGCGACAAAACTCATAATATCTTGCAGTTCCTCACCAAGATATCGAATCTGCCTCGGATCGAAACTGTGTAGGAAACTTGTCGCTTTATCCCATAAGTTGTCGATGTTAATTCCCTTCTCATTTTTGTAAGCTGCAGCGATATGGGCATTTAAAATGTAGATATATGGAACAGTATTTAACGAGGGGTTGATGACCTATTACAAACATATTAGCTCATGGCCGATAATATATAAACCACAGCTCACATCTAAAGGACTTTCACCACCGGCAGTACTTTGTAGCAAAGTCTTCTCTGATGTTTTCTTCAAAGTCTCGATTTGCGATGTGATACCAGCATCGTATTGCGAGTCCGAGAGAGGTACCAAAGGCGCGGGATGGGGGGGAAATAAAAGCATCCGGGACAGGAAATTATCCATCCTGAAAGGAGGGTATGCGACCAGATAATGAGCGTTTGATTAATTGCACAGTTCTCGCAGGTTCGCACCGGTCTCAGATAGCTTCCCGTGAAAGGTCAACGGTGCAATCTCGCATTTGGCACCAGAAACACCAAAGATAGTCGAGATAATGTGTTGGAAGTCTCAACGCTAACACTATCAGGATCGAATGAGGGGACGAGGATGCGAGAGGCTATGATGTTGCCTTGGAGCTCCAGCGAGGTCTGGGGTTATTTTACGCTAGCGGCCGCCTGCTCCGGCTCAAATCACATGGTATCAGAAATCAGTCATCGCATGGAGGGTGGAACAAAAGCATTCATCACTTTTTATCAATACTATTTTGAGTGAATCTATAACACGCTCTTGAGCTTTTAACCTTAGCGGTGATAAAATACTGCTTATTCTAAAATCGTTCTCAAGTCATTATCGAGTCTTTCACTTGAGACTCTTCCAATTCCCATGTCTCTCACAAACGCAACCCCAGCAGAAGCTGCAAGCGGGGCAAAGACTGCGTCTCACATTCTGGCTACACTTCCAACGTCCTCGAGAAATGCAGCTTTGACTGCTATTCACGATGCACTTCTACAAAATAAAGAAGAAATACTAGCCGCTAATGCTCGGGATCTCGAATTGGCTAAAAGGGAAGCCGAGGGTGGTCGTTTGAGCTTAAGTATAGTGTCGAGATTAGATTTGGGAAAGAAGGGAAAATATGAAGATATGTTGAAGGGAATTTTGGATGTCAGAGATCTGGATGACCCTGGTATTGTGCTTTGTTCCCGATGAAAATAAATTTCTGCTGATCGCTCCACACAGTTGGAAAAGTCACGCTGCGAACACGACTTGACGATGGTCTGGACCTTGAGAGAGTGTCATGTCCCATTGGAGTACTTCTGATCATCTTTGAAGCACGTCCTGAAGTGATTGCCAACATCGCGTCGTTAGCAATCAAGTCCGGGAATGCTGCCATCTTAAAAGGTAGGACAAAATATTATTTTAACTGTTCACATGAAAGCTAATACTCTGCAGGTGGCAAAGAGTCTACTGAATCTTTTATTGCTATATCAACGGTGATATCAGCGGCTTTGCAGTCAACAGAAGTTCCAGCAGCTGCTATACAGTTAGTCACAACCAGGGACGTCATCCCTCAATTATTGGCATTGGACCAATACATTGATCTCGTAATCCCAAGAGGTTCAAATGAATTGGTCAAATACATCAAAGAAAATACCAAAATTTCTGTGATGGGCCACGCAGATGGCCTCTGCTCGATATATCTTGAGAACACTGCTGACCCGGCAATGGCAACAAGAGTCATCGTTGATGCGAAAACGTCATATCCAGCAGCATGCAACAGCGTGGAGACTTTGTTAGTTGAGCAAGCTGCTCTAGAGAAAGTTCTCCCACAGGCTGCGGAAGCACTTCTAGAGAAGGGTGTCTCGTTAAGATGCGATGCTTCTAGCAAAGCAGCTCTCACATCAAAACTCCCTTCTCACCAAGCAGTTTTCCTTCAAGATGCAGTGGACGGTGATTTTGATACAGAACATCTATCACTTACTCTTGCCATCAAAACCGTTTCTAATCTCAACGAAGCCATCTCACATATCAACATTCATGGTTCCCACCACACTGATGTAATCCTCACCTCATCCTCTGAACTTGCTGAGCGATTTATGGCTAGTGTGGACTCAGCAGGTGTTTTCTGGAACACTTCCAGTCGTATGGCTGATGGAATGCGCTTCGGATTCGGTACCGAAGTAGGAATATCAACAAACAAGATCCATGCACGAGGACCAGTTGGCTTGGAAGGTCTCATGATTTATAAATACAAAATTCGCGGTAATGGCCAGTTGTCTGTTGAATATGGCGAGGGAGAGGGGCAAAAAAGATTTAAGCATGAAAATCTCTCGATATAAATTACTTATTCCGTTATCAAAAGCACTCATGTTTTCGATGACAAACGTACCCGCCACATGTAGGTATGATCCGTTAAACGCGTGATAGCGTGCGCCTGTTCTTTTCGCCTTTTCAAACCTCCAAGAAATTGGCCCAAACATCGTTTCTCCACTTATTCTGTCGCGGTATTAACTCTCTCATCTCTTGGCATGCCTATCGGTACTTCCTACCCAAACTTGCCGTCCCTTGGCTTTCTTTTGATAAATCGTTACCACCCATAGGACCTCCTCTTAAGCTTATGCAAGTTTAGTTTAAAGTTTTCCAAGTGGTTTACAACGCTTCTTGATGGATATGTTCTCGCTTCCCAAATGCATGCTCGATAACTTAAAACCAACGACCCCTGGAGCCCCTTGACACAAACAAGGTAACAAACTCATGTAGCCAATGACGCCCAACCTTGGATGACGTTTTGACGTTTTCAATACCTTTTCCTTCCGGTTGATTTGTCCATCTACTTACTTTAGATGTATGGATCTGAAAAATATGGGAAGAGTAATATGCTTGCCACTTGCAAAACATCGAGCTTTGCGGCCTCTCGCTTGGCGTCTAAGGTTGGAGTAGAAATGTTTAAACATGAGCGTCGCTCGTTGATATTGGAAGGTTACGGCCGGCCGCGGATTGCTTCAAGAAAGAGTCCTAGATATTTTCGATTCGATTAAGGTGTATTATTTTTTTCAAAATAAGAATTTTTACTTCAAAGCAAGAATATCCAAAGTAAAATGTTGGTTTCTAATTTATTTATGACGGTGGCATTTGGCACGGTTGTGTCTGCGAGGGCTGTTGAAAGGAGTGATCGTGAGTAATTCTAGGTTTTGTAGCATTCCAGCTTATCGACAATTGATATTTCCATGGGGCTTCCTCCTACTCAGATCACCTCGAAAATATGACGAAGGCTAACAATTTCTCGCAGGCTCATTTCAACAACCAATAACTGATCCCTCTTTGCCTCGTCCAAATCCTTCGTCTCAATTTTGCATTTTTACGCCATCACTTCCAATGCCACCCGCTTCCTTCACATCCACACTTCCTTCATCTCTACACCATCATCTCCCAAACGTCCTCCTCTCCAATTCATTCTTCAACTCGAATCTCCCAGCTTCAGGCTCCACGGTTCCCATGATTTCGAGTCTGTCTCTCTCCGAAGAAACTGGCGATGCTTCTCTTCAAGGAATCTTCCTCGGTCTCGTCTACACACCCAGTAGCAGCAAATCTTCCTCCCCACCTCCTTCAACCTCACTCCCAAAACCGCAAGAATCAAAATCCCATCGCTGTTCTCGACCTCCTAAATCCAAAGTGGATACACAAGACGATTTCGATAAATCGTGGAGTCATGTTAGTAATCATGAAATTCGTTCCCCTATCTTGTCGGTACCGCAGTCAACTCCCTCTATGGAGATGAGAAGATGTTTTACAGAAGCGGTGGAAGGGATCAGGGGGAGTGAAATGGTGGAGGGTACGTTAAATTTCCCTGAGGATGGAGGACGGATGCGATTTTTGATTTGGAGGGTTGATTGAGTGATGGGAATGGCATATATCTAATTTCACGAATTGGTTTGGTTTCGAATGGAGGGATATGGGACTGGAATGGCGAAGGAAAAGATTTTTCGAAGAGACTGGCGTTGGGATATGAATTTCATTTTTATTCTGGCGTATACGATATCGTTGGAGCTGGACTTGACAGAGATGAAATAGGATGGACTGTGTAACAATGATTAGTCTAAGTATACATCTATCAATTAACGAGAAATGAATTACCTCGTAAAGAGGACCGCCCAGAATTCATCAGTCATACAATCTTCTACCAAATAGTCATATGGATAGTCTATCCAATATGCGTGAATATCCGAAATATATCTCAGTTTGTCTTATCTCAACAACGCCGCGAGTAATGGCCCGTCGCTCATACATATTTAGACTTCTTCGCTAAAGGGAAGTTGAATACAAATATCATGTTTTTATTTTGGCTATATACAGTTACGAGCGGAACTGTTTCCCCATTTTTTACTTGTCTGTTGATGATATTTGATATTGGTTGTGTTTAGTTTACTGCTTCAATCATTTAACCTGGTTTCATACAAATTTTTCTCTCCAGCAGTCGAAAAGAATAAGTTTCATCTCACGAATTCCCGAAAGCACGTGAAACAGCCCTCGTTTCATACTTACTTCTTGGGTAGTGGGAGGTGATAAATTGAAAATAGTCTTTTTATGAGGTATGAAGCGTATGGTTAATTATAAGATGGAAAATGAATGTGAACAGCGAAAAAGGGAATTAATTGTCTTTTTTTTTGGCTACATTTGCTAAAGGGGATGGTTAGGGCTTTTGATCGAAGATATGTTCACTGCGTATTAGTTAGTTGCCTAAATACCTAACTAATGCTGGGATTACTTGTTGGGCCCCGACCTCTATAAATATACCTATAGTATCATCAATCCAACAACCAACCGAGAAATTTCCACGATGCATTGACACAGGAAGTCAGAAGAGACAATGGGACCTACCCGCCAAGGCTTTCTGCTCAGTGTGTGTATGGACCTCACAAGTTATGAAGCTGGAAACATTTGTATTTCCTGAATAGATGACGATATTTTGCACTTTACCGTGACAGCATGATTGGTTTAAAGTATTTGGAGTTTGATAGTGATATAGCCACATACACATATATGCATCTCTCAACATAAACACTGTCGTCGGACTGAGGCTTATATCACCATCGTCCATCTTGCACGTTCATCACAACCACAAAACACCCCTACCCAGCAGCCAGAAAATTTGAAATTCAGATGGTCGATTCGATATTCTAATAACTGTTATTTCCATTCTCCGAGTTGGAATTTAATAGTCCAACATTGCAGATCCTAATTATATGATTCAATAAATCCAATTCGAACCTTCTACCTTCAAAAGTTTGTGAAGAAATTAGTTGTAAATACAGGGATTTTTATATATAATTATATCTAACAAATCATTCTATATTCACTCATCTATAGACTTCTCATTACAGCAGATTCGATATCTTAGTACCCGGTATATTTCCTACCTACCTAGTTAGTTATAAATACATCTAGTTATAAAAATATCAAAATTAAATAAAAATCTGGTGGGACGTTTTCCTGGTGGTTATGATTGAAAATGTTTTGTATATTGTGAGTTTTCTGAAGTTTAATTAGAGTATATAAATAGAACCTAGGAATTGTTTTATAAGTGATAAAAGATAAAGAGATTAATTGTAGGATTATATATAGCGGAAATTGTAATTGGGTAGAGTTAAATTCTTTTGATAATTAATTAGTAACTACTTCCTTCCTTTCTGTCTATTTTATTGATAGCAAGAACTTGATGATCATGATTGTCATTGTTGATATATATAATTGATCACTTATTATATAATGTAATTATCTTCTTATAATCAATCAACTTTTATAAGAATAGCCGTCTAGATCATGTGGAAGTGCTCTAGACTCTCGAGGTGGTTTATAATTAAGTGTCAAGCAGGGACTTAAGTAATGACAATAATGATATACTATTCGTAACTAATAATAGAGTATACTAAATAATTGATCTTGAGCACGAAGCTTTATACAAAGGAAATCCATCTTGATTATATAGACCTTCATGCCTCCTTAAAAAACCGATGGCTATGAGCCCGACAAATCGATCACCGCAAAGCCGATCTCGATTTGTCGGTTTCTTGATCATGTGATCAAGAACGTGACCTATGTTACTGTCCGACGTAACAAATAGTAAAGTGATATTTATTCTTCAAAAGAATATACAAATAAAATAATAAACCTCATTCTAGCCTAATCAGGTATTAATTAATATAATATAAAATCTACACAGAAAAATTATCATAACTCTTCTCCCACCACCGCCAACATTTGATTGTTACGACGGTATTCAATTATGACTAAACCTCGCATCACATGACTAAACAAGGGGTCACGTGGTCCCACTCGTCCCACCGATTTAAATCGGGGGGAACGGTGGGACATATGGCACGAAGGTCTATATAATCAAGATGGATTTCCTTTGTATAGAGCTTCGTACTCAAGATCAATTATTTAGTATACTCTACTATTAGTTATGAATAGTATATCATTATTGTCATTACTTAAGTCCCTGCTTGACACTTAATTATAAACCACCTCGAGAGTCTAGAGCACTTCCACATGATCTAGACGGCTACCCTCGCAACACAAGTACTAGGTATCAATGATTATCGATATAGTGTCACGATTCACCATCACGTCGGACAAGTAGGGATCACGTGATGGAGCCTCCAGGAGCATAGGCTCCTCAAGGCTCCTGGAAAGGACCAGTATATAAACATTCATTATTTTCATAGTATAGGAGCTTCGTGCTCAACTTAGTTATCAATTAGTTTACCTACATTCTACTTGAGCTAGTAACGAATTCACTTCCAAGTGAATACCAGTGATAAAGCCTTAACCCACAACTACCAACCAGATGAAACCTCAGGCAGCCGCTGCCTTCAGTACAGTATCGTTACATAAAGTAAGATCATTGGAGGGATAAATATGACTTCTTTTTGCCTAACGTGGTTTATCAGTATGTGCACCATATCAGCATGTGCACCACTTTTACTGTCACGATTCATTAATTCACGTGACCTCGAGGACCTTTTGGACCTTAGGGTCCCAGAGGTCCTCAAAAGATGATATAGGGTATATAAACATTCATTTAGTCTCGTAGTTAAGGAGCTTAGTGCTCAACTTAGTTATCAATTAGTTTACCTACATTCTACTCGATCTAGTAACGACTTCACTTCTAAGTGAAGACTAGTGATATGTTACGCCGGGTAACAAGAAGACGCTCACGTGTTACTAATATCATGTGACTGACTCAGTGAGGATCAGCAAGCTCAGTACTGAGCCATACTGATCCTACTGATCAGCTAGAACACGAAGGTCTATATAATCAAGATGGATTTCCTTTGTATAGAGCTTCGTGCTCAAGATCAACCATTTAGTATACTCTACTATTAGTTACGAATTGCATTATTGTCATTACTTTAAGTCCCTGCTTGACGCCTAGTTATAAACCACTTCGAGAGCCTAGAGCACTTCCACGTGATCTAGACGGCAAACCTCGTAACATTTATCACCTCACTTCAAATCCCGAATAATTTGGTAATAGCAACAAGGTCAATATTTTTGATTTTTTTTTTAAAAATAATTATAAAGTTTACTATATGATTAGAATAGTTGGAAGGTATTCGAAGAGAGAATATAGATATTAATCCACCACCTAATAATATCTTATATATCATTGTCAAACTCGACGCTATTGACAGGATTGCGGTAGCTATGTAAGATAGTTAATTTGATCCTGTATCCAAAACGAAAAGTTATACCGGAACTTCAAATATGGGAGTGTTAGTTTCTTGAATTTCTTTTTGTTTTCATGATGTCTGTGAGAAAATGTCAGATAAATGCCGTTCGTTCCTGGTCTATAGGTCGAAGACTAGAGGAAGTCTGCCATGGCTGTTCTCTATATATCCTCTTGAAATTGAAAATTGATGATCACAATATCTTATAAACTAGTATTTATTTCACCATTCTACCATACATTTGAAAAAACAGAAAGGATAAGGATAAAAACATATCCATTTAAACACTAAACAACCCTTCTCTCCCTTCTCTTTCATCATATCAATCATATCCATCCTCTTCATCCCCTTTATCCCCCCTCCGCCTTCCCAAACATAACGAATATTTGAACCATAAAACCACATACAACAATACAACAAAACATCCTAAAAACCCAACACCCATCCCCACAAACTTATAATGTCAAGTAAATCCACGATTATTCTTATGATGGAAAAAAAGGGACGGATGACTTTGAGGGAGTTTCTCAGGAGGAACGTGAGGATGAAGAAGAGTACGAAGAAGGGGAACATTTTGTTTTTGTTTTTGTTTGGATTGGGTTGGATTTGTTGGGCTGGTGAGATTTTGATTTGATGTGAGGTGCGAGGGGTGAGAGTGAACAGGGTATTTGGTATTTGATTTGGCGTTGTAATGTTTGAGCGGTGCTTGGTGATTTGTGATTTGATATGCTTATTTGAACGTATGATGGAAATTATGAAGTGGAGAATGCAGAGACAAAACTTGAGTAAAGGAAATAAAAAGCTATATATATAGCAAGTACCCTTCTTCAAACTTCCACTTTAAGAACTCGGAAAATCTTTAAAGGTTTCTTGGATATTGTATCTTAGTTCTACGAGTATACTAGTATAACATCGCGATGTCTAGCTCTCATATGAAAGCCAAGAGAATATGGGATAGTATGTTTTAGATAGAAGAGAAGACTTATGATGTGTATTTCTTCGCTTAGCATCTCATTACGGAGGGGTTCTTCAGAGATATTGGAGTAAGATAAATTGAGATAGGTAGAAGCAGCTAAATTCCATTTTTTTTGGATTGGAGAATTTGACAACTTGTACGTGGTGGCTTTGATTTGCTCCTGAACCACGTTCCTGTATATGCACTGAGCACACTAGAACTAGAATATAGATGATGGAAGGAAATGTAGAGAAGAGAAGAAACCTAAAGACGGCTTGAGAGAGGTAGAAGAATCAAACGTTGAAAGCGACTGATAGATAAATAGTATTATCGTAAGATCTTGCCTTCTTAAAACACAGAGAGCTAAATTCATGAGATAATTAAATGTTCGACTTATTTGCACGCCAGATGAGATGGAGATGAATCTTCGAAACTAATTGTCTAATTCGATGCATTTAATATCTCCAAGTCGAATGTGCCAGTGAAGCTTGAGGAATGATAACTCACTGAGCTTTGATTTCTCGCAGAATGTAATAGCATAACCGATGCCTTGCTTACATGGAGCAATGAACACGCTATCTAGAATGTTCCCTTGATTTCGCGATTTGAAATGAAAGAAAGAATAGAGAGAACACAAATATTACTTCCTCCAAATGTTAAGATACAGGAACGAAATGGAAGTGTTAATTTGATGTTCTTAAACGATAGACCTGCTAGATGTCACGATACTTTCTTGATTCTTTCTTGAGCCGTTGAGTAATCAAAACTTCGAAACTTCAAACCGATATGTTCTAGATCGAGACATCCCTTCGTATTTCACTCGAATAATGTAATCCTACCAGATCTGTGAATGTTCTGAAATTCAGTGAGCTGTATTATATGACTCGCCTATAATTTCCTTATTGATAAACCACTTGGTTTTTACAATATTAAAAGGATTGATGTCAAAATACCTATGGATGATGATACAATTTCATACAGAGGCGGGCAGAAACGGGCAGAAACGGGATGAAATCACTCGTGAAATGATTATTGTGCATACGGAGCACCTTCAAAGATTTCCCCAGCTTTGGTCTTATCAATATTCAGGGAAAATTTGCAGACAGGGATTGCTATGACAGATGAACATCAGCCCCACTAAAATAAATCAAACCAACAATTGACTCGAAAATAGAAAAGATTGATAAATGCCATTCATTTACATTTACAGTAAGATAATCTTACATTGTTCGTTAAATGATCCAAGCAAAATTATGGCGGCGCCATCGATACGAAAAGATAAGTCTGAGGGTGATAAAGAACAACCTGACACAAGGTTGAATTATCTATGCAGAGAAAAGAAATAACCGCTCTTCAAGAATTCAAGGTTACTTCTACTGCTCGAGTGCCTATGTTAATCAGAGAAGTTTAATATCAGAGTGCGGCGCAGTCCGTTCGGTTCCTCCGAGGTTCCAACACCTAAAACTACAAGGCCAAAGCAGGGTCCGCCAAGTGACTTGGTCCAGACTGTCACCGAACGAATGAATGAGTAAAGTGCAGTAGTGGTACAGGACTAAGAAGCTTACATGACTTGGGAATTCCAATTATCAATATCACTGGGTAAAGAAGGAGTAGCCTATCGTATGTCACCCAGGTACTACGGCGTAGATATCAGTCAGGAATTTGGAATACGACAGCGTGGTCGATGCGTTCTTACGGAGGAGAGGATCATCATCAATATGTCCGGATTCTTGTTTTCGAGTAGTTCTTGGTTTAGAGTAGTCCTTGGGTAGCCACGGACAGTTGACTCACCAGGCTCAAAGTTAGGTATATTCACACTTAGGTATGCATGTATGTACTCGGTAAGCAGATTGTTGGCTTCTTCAAATAATTACTCAGTAGGTGGTATGAAGATGTAGATAGGTAGGTTAGATACCTCTTTACAAACTGTAGATGGTATCAAAAGCTGGATCATGACTTGATATCGAAAGGGTGAATCAAATGAATTCTACCACTTATCAATATTGTGTACATCCTTAACAATCACCCCGCGAAAGAAAGAGGTGAATAATAACTACCTAGTAGACAACCAAGTAGTCATTATACCATACCTAGAGAAATGATTAACAGAGTGAAAAGAGTTTAATACTGCAAACTATCTATACCACACCTAGTACATACTTTATAAAATAGCAAAAAACCATTCAATCAATTACTCGAGGACATTCTTTCCTATCCTATTATTCACAACTCACTAAAAACAAGCATCCATCATCACACATATCAAATCATTCATTCATTCAATTATCCTTTCGGTCCCCCACTCTGCTGTTTATAGATAAATAAGCGAATCACCTTTAGCGTTCTTTGCTCTCATCAATCCAGGAAGAAGCGTCATTTTTAGTAGTACCAGTTTCTCTTTCCCTCCCAAAAACTGCACGCGATCTGCAAAGATAATTCTCCCCAATCTCTACACTCACCTCCAAAAGATTGTCCAACTCGAAGGACATCATCCCGCCGATAGTATTCATCTATCTACAATCTCTTTGGCCTTTCTTTTCAAGGAAACCACGACCCCGCATCCCGCCCATACATCTTTGCAATCTCTGTCAAGGAACACCAAGAAGTCCGAGGACCTACAAATCTTGTGGAGAGAAGGATCTGAATTGTTTGTTGGATTTTTGTAGAGAGGACTCGATCTATCTGCAAGATGGGTCAGACTCTTTCGGAGCCGGTCGTGGAGAAGGTATGTTTGCTTTTCCTTGTTTGTTTACCGTGTCATTGTCGGCGCTGCTATCTCTTACCAAGGTATCGCACATCTGGTACCCAATGCCCATGCTCAGTATTCCCGCGCCCGCAGTGATACAAAGACTTTTATGCTGTTCGGGAAATGAGGACAACTTTCTCTCAAAATATTCCATGAAGACTCGGTGTCCAGCCGCAATCTTACTATCGAGATTTATCCACCACTTTCCATGATTACTAACATTGTGCTCTCTATCAGAACTCAGCTATCGGAGGCGATGAGAGATTAGTCTATGGTGTCTCTTCTATGCAAGGATGGAGAATTAGTATGGAGGATGCGCACGCGACTATTCTTGATTTACAGAATACAAAGGGACAGGAATTTAAGCCAGCTCCAATCGAAAGCAGACTTTCTTTCTTCGGTGTTTACGATGGACATGGAGGAGACAGGGTAGCACTCTTTGCAGGCGAAAATATACACCAAATCATTGCGAAACAAGAAGCATTTCAAAAGGGTGATATTGAACAAGCTTTGAAGGATGGCTTTCTCGCAACAGATAGAGCAATTTTGATGGGTTCGAAGACCTTCCATCTTTGATTAGAAAAGGTTACTGATTCAAGGTGTAGATCCAAGGTACGAGGAGGAAGTTTCTGGCTGTACCGCATCCGTTGGTATCATTTCGCACAAGAAGATTTATGTGGTATGTTATATGGTATGAAAGGAAAGCCAAAATATACTCACTATTCTCAAGGGAAATGCCGGAGATTCAAGAAGCGTTTTGGGAGTCAAGGGTCGGGCTAAGCCTCTGTCATTCGACCACAAGCCGCAGAACGAAGGTAGCTTTTCATCATCTTGGTAATATACTGCACAAAATACTAATATGCATCTGTGCAGGCGAAAAGGCTAGAATCAATGCGGCTGGAGGTTTCGTCGATTTCGGTCGTGTCAATGGCAATCTTGCATTGTCAAGAGCTATTGGTGATTTTGAGTTCAAGAAGAGCGCAGGCCTTTCGCCCGAACAACAAATCGTGACTGCATTCCCAGACGTTACTGTACATGACATTACAGACGATGACGAGTTCTTGGTGGTTGCTTGCGACGGTCAGTAGCTTGCGACCATTCCTCAAAGAAGACGGGCTAACACAATTTTATAGGTATCTGGGATTGTCAATCCTCTCAAGCTGTCATTGAATTTGTTCGACGAGGGATCGTTGCCAAGCAAGACTTGTCTAAAATCTGTGAGAACATGATGGATAACTGCTTAGCATCCAATTCGGAAACTGGTGGTGTCGGTTGTGATAACATGACTATGATTGTCATTGGTCTCTTGAACGGCAAAACCAAGGAAGAGTGGTACGATGAAATCGCAAAGCGTGTCGCGAATGGAGATGGTCCATGTGCCCCTCCGGAGTATGGCAAGTACTCCGCTAGTTCCTAGGATCGGAATATCTCCTAATATGTTTACTAGCTGAATTCCGAGGACCTGGCGTTCATCATAATTTTGATGACAGTGATAGTGGTTATGATGTTGATATGGACCAGAAGCTTAAATCTTTCGGTGGGAACCAACGTGGACGGATCATTCTTCTTGGAGATGGTACTGAAGTCCTCACTGATTCCGATGATACAGAGATGTTCGATCACGGCGAGGAAGACAAAGACCTTGTCAGCCAAGTCCCAAAAGGACAAGCCCAATCCGAAGTCCCCGAATCCAATGCCTTGCCCGAAAAGATCGACCCGAAAGATCCCAAGTACCAAGCTGTAGTCGACGAGGTTTTACCAAAAACGGCCAACTCGAAGGAATAGAAGTAGGAGTACTCTGGGTATTCATGATACTTCAAAGATTCTTGAAGTGAGGGATGGCGACGGAGGGAGGAGGTGAAGATATTAATGACTCGAGAAATTATGCAGACCAGATTCATCTTGATGAATGATTATTTTTGCGATTATGTCTGGAATAGAAAGAAACGGTTGCAAGTTGTTTGCGTTTTTACTAGCAAAACGTGAGATACATTCACGTGTTGCGAGATCTTCTGGGAGTCTTCGTGAATGCTAGGAGGGATCAGGGAGCATGGGATGAAGGAAGGCATAAAGGTTATGAATACTTTATATCTGGTAAACATTTTGGAGATCCCCTTGGTGGTGGCTTCTCCTTCTACATGAAATTTCTCCAACTTACGATCTTCACACGCAGCGAGTTATCTTATCATTGGTCATGAGCCCATTATCTTTTCTATTTTACATTACAGAACTTTATAGGAAAGGGTCCCTAGACTAGTAAGGCCAAGTTGCATTGCATTGTACTTTTGAAAAAATCAATTGATTGATATCCTGACTAAATGGTTTATTTGATGTTTCTTTCAGTTTGAATGTTTGCGTGTAACTTGTACGGAGTAGAGTGATCGGAAAAATCACTACCTGCTAGGTAACTAGCTAGCTAATGGTCACAGCTCGAAGTGGAGATTGGATAGTATGTATGTGGGTAGTGTAGTATACAGGTGGGTGGGTATGTACTATGTAGAGAGGTTCGGAGAAAGAATTAGAAAGAAACTAAGAGATTCTTTAGTTACCCCGCGAGCCGCGAACTGTGAATTGCAGGGTGGGAAAAATTACTGGTGAGGTTTTTTTGATTTTTTTAGAGGAGGGGGAAGGGAAGAGGAGATGAGGTGAGTGAGGTTTTTATGGATGAGAGATGAGAATTTACGCTATAGGAATAAACTCTTTTGAGAAGAGGATTGGGGTGTAGATACGTGAATGGAAACGGGAACGGGGAATGGGAATTTAAATACCTTGTCTCGTTCTCGGGGTTTTAGATATTGATTTTAGGGGTTGAGTTACTTTTGAGGGAATTTTAAATCAAAAATCATAAATTATGGATTTTTGAATAATTATTATTAGGGTTATTTTTGGGTCGATGGTTGATTTTTTGATAGATATCACGATTTCATACTTCTCTTCCTTGGTGGGGGAGTTCCCGCCTCGTTCGTGCATCTTGAATTATCCAATCAACAATCACGGAAACACCTCATTATTCCTTAGCGTCCCACGTGCTCGTGCTCAATAGTTAGCAATGACGATGTTTTGGAATTTCCGGGTTATTTTGAAATTTGAACACCTTAAAAGAAACCGGGTTGGGGATTTTTATTAAGATAGCTTAAAACTAGCTTTATGTGAGGACAACAAGACAACTTACATCGAATCAATCATTACCACTTACTTCGTTCTACCAATTATTGATGCAGTACTCGTATCATCTTCATCAAACCTTACATAAAGCTTTGATTAATTTTTTTTAAGATCATCACTTCCATCAAAATTATTATTGTTTTTATCAAAATATCTGCATTCCAAGGTTCCCAAGCTTCAAAAGCTGACTCCCGATATCTATCAACTTCTCTAATCCGCGCGATACTACCAAAACACCACTTTTGAACCCTGGTCAAAATTATTCAAGTTTCGGGAAGCTCATCCTAGTATCCAAAAACTAACATCAAGACACGAAAACTAGAAGGCTATAATCGATCATCTCAATTCCCGTCTATCAATCGGATCCATTTTCAGATTGAAAATTGAAGAATCAAAATGTCTTCTCCATCATCTGGCGGGAGTGTAGGAAAACGGAAGCGTACTGCTACTGGGTTGTCCAAGACATCATCAACGCTCGATCAATTACAGAATTCGTCAAGAGATGCATCTGGTGAAGATGGCGAATCTACAGCTCCGGAAACTCGAGAAACACGCAGCTCGAGTCATAAAAAGGTCCTTTCGGTCGATGCTCAAAACCCACCTGCGAAACGCCTTCGATCATCTACACATGATAAAGTAGCAGTTAATGGATCTGATAATGCGCGAGATCCGGGAGAGCCATCGGATACAACTGAGGGTAGTACAGATATCGCGAACAGAGTTGGAAAGAAGGGAAGAAAAAGTATCTCAAAGGGAGAAGATGGGGAGCAAGAGGTAGAGAAAGATAAAGAGGAAAATGCACCATCGATGGCCCCACCACCAATTGGAAAATTGATGGATCCTGTTGGATACAAGACCAATCCACCACCTACCGGTAGACCAGTTCGTGTTTACGCGGATGGTGTGTTTGATTTATTTCATCTTGGGTATGTAATTCAAAAACTACGTCCTTGGTAGTAGTAACTAAGTCATGGCAGACATATGCGACAGCTCGAACAAGCTAAAAAAGCATTTCCAGACGTTTATTTATTGGTCGGAGTTACGGGAGACGCGGAAACACACAAGAGAAAAGGACTTACAGTTCTATCCGGGCAAGAGCGAGCTGAGACTGTAAGACATTGCAAGTGGGTGGATGAGGTTGTTGAAAATTGTCCATGGATTGTTACTCCGGAATTTTTGGCAGAAAAAAGGATCGATTACGTCGCGCACGACGATCTTCCATATGGAGCGGACGAAGGAGATGATATTTACAAACCAATCAAGGAACAAGGTAAATTTTTGGTTACACAGAGAACCGAGGGTGTTAGCACAACTGGTATCATTACAAAGTATGTTTTTGAACTTCTACTTCCTCAACCATTGCTAACAGTCATACAGAATTGTTCGTGACTATGAGAAATATATTGCGCGTCAATTCAAGCGAGGTACTACAAGACAAGAGCTTAACGTATCATGGCTTAAGAAGAATGAACTTGACCTAAAACGTCATGTTGCAGAAATGAGAGAAGCTATCCGAACAAATTGGAGTACTACTGGCCAAGAATTGGGAAAGGAATTGAAACAATTCTGGCAATCTAGTCGTCCCGGTAGTCCTGCACGTATGCATAGCTTTGATGGAAATAGTACTGGGAGTCTCACAAGCCCATCTGCTCTACAACACCTTACACGCCGTTTGGAAATTCCAAGAAATGATAACTCAGGTCCAGGCAGTGATTTTGCGACAGGATATAGTTTGGGTCTTATTGGTGGTGTACGATCATGGGTATGTTTGTATCTTCTCAAAGCCTACTTGAGCTAACTTTACGTTCTAGATGACTAGAAGTCGATATAACAATCGTGATAGTTTACAAGGAAGTGAAAGTAGCGAAGAAGAAAGTGAGGAAAGATTATCACCGAGAAGTAAAAGTGGAAAGGAAAACTTCAAACCTGATGAAAATGAGGTTGATGAAGAACAAGTCGACGCACAAATTGATGCTGCTATGGCGGAAAATGCTAAGAAATCTGGACAATAAATGAGGAATACTCTATGTTGGGTTCTTAATTTATGATGGGGTTTTCGGTGGCAGGGTTACATGACTTCAATATCAAAGTCTGTTCTCCTTGTTTGTGTTTGATCTTTCACTTCGTACATCTACTGCGTTGTTGTACTACATACATATCTACTTGCGCTTTAGCTATTCTGTATTATTTCTAGACTAATGGAAAAAGGGCAAAGGGGGAAATGGAATTGTAATGAACTGGATTTTGGATAGACAAAAAGCTCAACATGATAACTAGCAGGCTAGCATAGAATTTATTTTAAAAGGAATGATTTTTGTAGTGTGGAATTATGTTGTTGATATTCGACTGCAATTCACAATGCATAAGTGGTGGCGGCAAGCATAAATAAACCACGTGATCTCAACCAATCATTGGATTCGAATTAATCAACCGAAATCAATAATTTGAACCTTAGGATCTTCAGTGACATCGATGACTTTGCGAGTTACCGATAGATACCTACCCAGATAACCTCGAGACGCCACGGAACTTTGGACTATCTTCACTTACCGGGTCCTTTTTTGTTCTTTCGTCAATTGATATACTGATTGATTGATCGATTGGTCTGTTGGTTGATTGACTGAACGGTTTAGTTACAGAGAGAGAAGAGGTATTTATTAGGAATACGGATAGGATAGGACAGGAAGCACAGAACAGGACAAACAAGATAGATAGTCGGACGGACGGACGAAGAAGAAAGTAAACTCAAGATGTTTAAAACTACGAGATCTGCGGGGGCGCTGGTATTGAGAGGTTTGTTTTCCCTTTTGTTTTTCTGTTATCTTCCTATGTCTGCGTGTGAAGGCATTCTTCTATCATCAGTGGCAACTCCTTCCCTTCCCTTCTCAACCCACCCACACAAAACCACTCTCCCCCAAAAGCAAACAAAAACAAAAACAAACACGGCAACTAACAAAAACTTACCACACAAATAGCCAAACCCGCCCACCACTCTCTCCTCCCCACCCGCCTTCTCCAAGCGGGCATCTCGTCCAGCGCGCCAAAGACGGCAAAAACTCAGGTGCAGGCGCTGGATACGGGTCGTTTGGATAATAGGGCAGAGGTGAAGTTGAGTGTTACGGGGAAGGAGAGGAGGGAGGTTTTGTTGCCGAGTCAGGAGGGGAAGAAGGGTGTTATGCAGTATGCTTTGTAGGTGTTTGGGTTTCTTTTTTTTATTTTTTACTTTGGTGTTTGAGTTTGGGGGAAGGGAGGGGAGAGAAAAGAGGGGAAGGTAGAGAAGGAGGAGTGGGGATGAGGGGGGATGAGGGGGATGGGAGATCATGGGATTATGTTGGGGATAGATGACAGTGGCGGGCATAGGAGAAGGGATGAGAGCGGGGAGAGAACAGAAGGGGCGAATTTGCTTCAAGCCTACGCTTTATTCTAGACCTATGCTCTGCTCGCTGCATTTTGAGTGGCGATCTGGTATACATATGGAAACAAAAGCTAACAATTTACAAACAGAACTACACTCGATCAAATTGCCAACTGGGCACGTCAAGGATCCCTTTGGCCTATGACCTTCGGTCTCGCTTGTTGCGCCGTCGAAATGATGCATCTTTCCACCCCAAGATACGATCAAGATCGTCTTGGTATAATTTTCCGTGCATCACCTCGTCAATCTGATGTTATGATTGTAGCCGGTACTCTCACCAATAAGATGGCTCCTGCTCTTCGACAAGTTTATGATCAAATGCCTGATCCAAGATGGGTTGTTAGTATGGGATCTTGTGCAAATGGTGGTGGCTATTATCATTATAGCTATAGTGTCACTAGAGGTTGTGATCGAATTGTTCCGGTCGATATTTATGTGCCTGGTTGTCCGCCAACGAGTGAGGCACTTATGTATGGTATCTTTCAATTGCAGAAGAAGATGAGACATACAAAGATTACGAGAATGTGGTATAGGAAGTAGAATGTTGGAAGGGTGGAGAGATGTTATTGGGAGAGTCTGGGCTGGTTTCAAAGGGAGGCTTCGAGGGAGAGTTTCGCATTTGGAACAGATTGCAAATGCATGGATGGATGGATGATGATGAAGTAGGTGGGATCAAGAGTCTTTCTGTACAAAATGTACATAGTCTACTGGGAGTTTTCATCATAGTCATTTTTAAGAATTGAGAAAGGGAGAATGCGATACAATACAATGGAATAGAATAAAGATTCTTTGGATGATTATGATGTGAGTTTCTTGTGAGTATTGATTCTTATTAAGCTGTGTTTCTGGTTTTTATACTTAATTTAAAACGGTATGATTTTTAAGTCGCTGATTGGATGGATGGTGAATGGACTCCTAATAAAGTTATGATGGAGTAGTAATATTATATATAAGATTAATTAACGAAAGATAATTGTTTTTTGTTTTTCTGGATGATTGAGCTGATTCTTGGGATTGGGGGGTAAAGCATAGGGGATTCGGTGGGGAGGCAAGATGTGGATATGAAGGCAAGAGAGGA